TCCTCACCAGCTGTGTCTCCCTCCTCTGTGTTTGTGTCTCTGCAGGATCACAGAGTGGAAGACGGCAGTGTTCATTAACAGCTCCATGTCCTCTGAAGAGACTCCAGATAAAGATGGACGCTGTGTGAAGGAGTGAAGCTGCTGGAAGGAGAGGATCAGCTGCTCCTTCAGATCCAGGCAGGAGGAAACCACCAGAGGAAGAGCGCACACTCGCACGGACGCTGGGAGGAATTAAAGACAGAAGTTAAATTAATGGGGTAAAGAAATGTCACTGTCATTACTGAAATGAACATAATCATTTTGTATGTTACAAGTTTTCTGAAGTGTTATGTTTAAGAAGCTGAGAGAGGAGAAATACATTTGGCGAAGAAAAAGTCGTTATAATCTGACAAAATGTGTAATCTGACAAAAAAATCGTTATAATCTGACAATAAATCTGTATAATCTGACAGTCGTTATAATCGGACACAATGTGAAATAATCTGACAAAAAGTATTTATGATCAGACAAAAAATCGGTATAATCGGACAAAAGGTCGTAATAATCTGACAAAAAGTCAGTTATTGGACAAAATGTGTAATAATCGGAAACCTTTTTTTAATAATCGGACAAAAAAATCGTTAGAATCTGACAAAAAAAATCGTAATTTTAAAACAAAAACATTTTCAAATATAAAAAAAACCAGGTCATTATAACTGAATCGTTTTAAAGAAAAATGCGCAATACTTGGAGGAATTATTCAAAATAATTGTGTGGAAAGACAACAACGGAGGTGGATTATTTCAGAGATGAGATATTGTAATCTTTTTTGAAAAAAGGCAAAATAATTTAGAAAGACGAGTAATATGTAAAATATCTGGAGAAAAAAACTGTTGTAATTTTTCACAATGTCAAAAAGTTGAAATATGTCAAGGAAAAACGTTGGGTAGATATTTGAGAAAACGGCGAAATAAAGATAAAATATATACGGTATAAAGATCTGGATTGTAAATTAATTCATGTTGTATACACTGCAGGTGAACACTGACAGATATCACCATGAAACTTCCCCTACTTCACATGACATCAACACAATTATCTTTTATATTACAAGTTTCCTCACAGGTTATGTTTAAATACACAAATGGGGAGTTATGTAATGCTAACTGTTGGTGAGTTTAGCAGAAATCTGCACACAGACAGAGTTAGAGAAATAAACTCCTGGATGTTTTTTCCACCAGTCTGAAAGAAGACATGTTATGGAAGCAAAATAACCCAAAATATCAAAGTGAGTTTCCTCTCTTTGTGAGATCAGTAATGGCAGTATATTAAATCCACCTGGTATGGAGGTAGATGTATTTTCCTGAGTTAGAAACCACAGTCTGAAGCTCGGGTGAATCAGGCGTCGCTCCTCTGTGGGATTTATAAAAGGAAACACAGGTTATTATAAGCTTTTCTAATGAAAAACAAACTGATAAAAGAGCAATTTAAATGTATGTTTGGTGGATTCCCTACCCCTTAACGAGGAGATCAGCTGGTGGATGTGAGCGGTGACTTTAGTGTCCCATGTCTCCAGCAGCTGACAGTTAATAAACACCAACCAGTGTCCGTCAGTAGCAGCTGTGCTCAGATGTGAGAGAATCACCTCTCTGTCAGCTCCAAAGGAAACGACTCTCACCTGAACCTGAAACACATTTTATGGGGTTTTTATATTTTATATTGTTGCATCGACTCAGTTGTCTTGTGTCTTATCTGTCAGAGAGAAATCATTATTTATTTTATTATCATACCTTCTACCTCCTTGTGTCGATTAACCTGATAACATGTTATATTTTGCTGCATGTACCTTTTAAAGTTCTTAACAAATAATCTGAGGGGAATTTATTTTAACTTGTGATGTGTCTCTTTGTAAGGCACTTTGAGCTGCATGTGTTGTATGAAAAGTGCTGTATAAATAAAGCTTTATTATTATTTATTAAGGAAAACATCAGGCACTCCACTGGTCAACAAGGCTTACATCTATTACAACAGTTTATAGTGATCAAAAGGCTTGGGGGGAAAGTGTGTGTTACTCTGGCCCTCTTCCTGTATAGTGTGTGTTTCACAGTAGGATCTCAGACCCTAAAACATTAGACAAAGACAGATATTATCACTATAAGCGTTTCCCACTGTAACTTCAAAACTAAACAAACTGTGTGGTACCTTATTGGGTTTTGAGATTAAACATGATTTCTCTACAATATACTGTGCATCCGGAAAGTATTCAATACGTATGTTTATGTGATATTTTAGTTTTCTTTTTTTTAATTCGCAAAAATTATTTTAAAACTTTTTTTCACTTTGTCATTATGGGGTATTGTGTCTAGAATGTTGAAATACAAATACATTTAATCCATTTTGAAATATGGCTGTAACATAACAAAATGTGGAAAAAGTGAAGGGGTATGAATACTTTCCGGATGCACTCTATCTTTGGAATAACTTCTCTACAATTCTTTATTGCGATAAATATTTGATTAATATAATCTTGGTATTCATAAGTCATAACGAGAAGGTGTCTAACAATAAAACCCACAACTACAGGGGAATGGATCGGAATCGTAAAATAAATATATAACATGGAAAAATTAATTGACCTAATTGCTTTTTCTTTCCCGTTTGTATTCCATAAAATGTAAAAAATCAACAAAGATAAAGTTTAACTGACGGTTTTACCCAAATCTCTAAAAACGGAGGAACAACGGAGCTGATCCAGATCTGCGTCCGATATGACGTAATATCTGAAATGTGGACCCACGGCCCAATCAGAAACGTTGCTATCAGAAACAATGCCCGACTGTTTTGGACGTAATATGGTCGGTGTTTACATTAGCATCGCTAACACTCAGAGCTAACCTGTACTGGAGAGCATGTGTGTGAAGAAGCAGGAAGTAAAAAGGAACTCACCTTGTGGTATAACCGGCAAGAGAGAAAGCCTTTGAGCTCCAAACTGTTTCAGAGAGAATCCTTGATAATCCATGATATGGTGTTTCATCACGGCAGCATTTAGTTTAGACAGAAGCTGCCGGGTCTCGCATGAGCTCAGACCCCTCCTCTTTTATTTGTAAAGCTTTATACCCAGAATCAGCACTTTAGAAACAGGAAGTGAAACAGAGGGATATGAGGCGTGGCTAGAACGGGTGATCTGTTTGGTATTTTGAGCAAAACACTTCATAGACATGTTTTTTATATATTTTTATATATCTGAGACATATGCTATTGCCTAAAGATAGCATGATAGGTGACCTTTAAGGGACATAATTCACTGTTGTAGAGTTGTCCACGGACCGGATGTGGGCCACACCTTGGACTTCCGGTTTTATGATTGTTGTTGTTTGTAGCCTCATAGAAGCATGTAGCTAATAATATATATCGTGTATGTGAATATAAGGAGAATGACGCGTGGAGTTACACACTAAACGCACCGTCTCCAACTCTCACTCATTGACGCTGCATTACCACTATTATTATTTGTTTATGACCAATAAACATTAGAAGAATTGTATGATAAAAGGGATGTGCTATGGCTACGTCATCAGAGGACTACAGAAGAAGACCCGCCCCCTTCGACGCCAACCAATGAATGAAGACTACAATACTATATAACCAGATGTTACAGAGAGAGACGCTCCCTTTCTTTCATTCTACTGTAGACAGCTAACTGCGGTAAGTGGACTGTGGACCAGTGGACTGAGTGTCAGAACCACAGCTGTGTTCCCTTGTGTAAATATCATTGTATGAATAAACGCAGTTAACTTTTCGAGAAGCTTCCTGGTCTTCTTTAGACTAACTCTTTGTCTTCAAAACAAAGAACACAACATTACCTGAGTGTCTTCTCCACAGTGGGCCAGACTGTGAATTAATTTCAGAGGGTGAATGCTTGTCCTCTCCTCTCCTCTCTGATTGGGTGATGTGAGGATGACAGGCCCCTCATGTTTTCTCAGGAACTGATAGAGGGCTTTGGGGTTCCCGATGTATGGGGTCTCCCTCCCTCCCAGCAGGGGGCGGTGGTACACGGCCATGTCCTGGTTCAATCCCTGCAGACTGTGAGGGAGGAGGGTCTTCAGGAGGATCCCCCTCTGTATCAGTGACAGGTGGGAGTGAGAGCGGCAGGGAACGGGACCCGATACAGACGGGGGGTGATCACTGCTGGAAGAACAATTCAGATGATTCAGTAAAAGTATATATTGTCTGTGTGTATGTATACAGTAGATGTGTATGAGTATAAGTATTAGATGGATAGAATTGGAGGATGAAACCCTCTTTAATGGTCACTAGGGCTGTCCTGAATACCATTTTTCGGGCTCAGGATATTCGGTAGTAATCGGCGTGCGCGGGGGTATAGTAATCCGCAGTGAATATTCAATGTATATCATGTGTAACGTTATTGTTTAAACAGCGGATAAAGCAGCTTCATCATGGCAACTGGACAACAGCTAAGCTAAGCTACTACCTACAGCATTCAGGTGACCTTTCAGAGTTGTTGTGCCACCGTGGTGGCCCAGTTTCATATTGCATATTTGGCACACTGCCTTCGTCTTATCGTCGTCCAATTTAAAATGGTCCCACACAGCTAAAGTCTTCGGCATTTTATTTTCAGGTGTGTGAAGCGAAGTGAAGCGTGACGTTCACGTTCGTGACGCTGTGAGTGAAAGCGATGTCAGGCGCCCAAGCTGAGATTGTATATATTTCTGCATTTTAACAGTGCAATTAAAAGTATAAATATAGAATAAGAATGTGGCAATTCACCTTTATTGATAGCATACATATAGGAAGAAAAAAAAGAATATCCAAATAACGAAATAGAAAACCGAATAGTAGGCCAATGACCAAATATTCGGGTACAGCCCTAATGGTCACACACATTCAGATCACACAGCACATGACATAAAATGTGACCTCTGCTTTTAACCTATCCTAGTACTAAGAGCAGTGGGGCAATGGAGAGTGGTGTGGGGGGGGGTGTTAGGTGCCTTGCTCAAGGGCACCGCGGCAGGGCCCAGGAGGTGGACTGGGACCTCTCCAAGTAGCAGTCGACACTGTATATTTACTTTTCTGATCAAAAATCTTTCTATTGCATTTCGACAATGCATATCCAATGTTTGTCATTTAGAGATGGAAAGCCAAACATAAAAACACCTCGGACAGTCCTGTGTGCCTGAAGCCATCAGGCTGCTCGATCAGGGGCTAAACCCTGTATTATCCAGGACTGTTCAAACATAAAAGATGCACTGTTTTTACAAGCCTTTAAGCTGCACTCACATCTGCACACTTATGTAAATATATTTAACATGTTCATACAAATGCTCAAATGTTTACTGTGATATCTTGTTTCAATAGTTACTTTATCACTTTATTTGTGTTGTATTATTATTTTAATTTGTATTCTATTTTATCTTAATTTTTACCTTGTTTGAATCCTGTTTTTTCACAACCGGAAGACAGACTGCGTGATAACCGAGAGAAGAAGAACAGACTGCGTGATATAAACAAACAACAGATAGCGTGTGCGTTCCACTTTCACTCTACAGCCAGAAATTCACGGGGCTTTCCCGAACCTGTGTCGAGAGCTGGAGTTAAATGAAATCTCAGATTTGCCTTCTTAATAGTTTGTTTGGGTTCCTCAATTCCGTTTCGCTTCTCATGCACTGATTCGCTAGCTGAACAGCCAATCAGAGTGATTTCTTGTGCAGAAACCCACCGATTCGACATGTCGAATCGGTGGGTTTTTGGCCGAAAAGGTGTCGGCACGGCTGAAAAGACACGACGATGCAGGACACACCAATCTGAGTAGGGCGTGTTGACGCTCATCGTTGGCCTGACGCCCATCGGTGGCCAAAATTGGCTTGGTGTGTCTGGGCCTTTACTAAAGTAAAAGTACAAAAGTACTATCAGCAAAACGACTTAGTACGATAAATCATTTCCATCAACAACTACAAATCCCCCAGTGCTTCAGTCACCCGTGGCGTCCCCCAGGGCTCTGTACTTGGTCCCCTGCTCTTTATCATCTACATCCTGTTACTTGGACAAATCCTCCGTCTAGTTCGATTGTTACAAAACCACTTCCACCACCACACACTCCCAACTCACCACCTGCCTCACTGACATCTAACAATGGATGCAAAACAACTCTCTGAAACTGAACTGTGACAAATCTAAAATAATCATCACCATCATCATCATCATCATCATCGGCCCAAATTCACTAACACTCTCCACTCAGGATCTCTTTCTGAATATCGAGAACACACAAACGGAAAGATTGACAGTAAAGTTGACTTTGAAAAGTGTTCTTAAGTGCTTGAGTTTAGTTTAGTTTATTTGTTTATCGTGTCGTGGACAGTCCCCGTTAATCAACTGTCACAAAAAACAGTAAATGGGACAGCTTTAGCAAACATGGCTAATTTCCAGCTGATCTCCACGGCCAGATGATAATAGATACCTTTTTAAAATCACAATACATCAACAGCATTAGTTATAAAGAAAGGATGAAAGACAAGTAGATAGAGGCGAAAGGATATAAGAGAACAATAAAATGCAAACAACACACGTTACTACATACATGTCACATATAGCACTTTACAATCACACAACAGAAACGAGGGGCAAACATTAATTTCTTCCAGAGCTGGGAAGTAGTGGAGTACAAATACTTTGTTACTGTACTTAAGTACATGTTTCTGGTATCAGTACTTTACTCCACTACTTATTTTTCTGAATACTTTTTACTTCTACTTCTTACATGTTGAACACAAATACCTGTACTTTCTACTTCTTACATTTTGAACTCAAATACCTGTACTTTCTACTTCTTACATTTTGAACACGAATACCTGTACTTTCTACTTCTCACATGTTGAACTCAAATACCTGTACTTTCTACTTCTCACATGTTGAACTCAAATACCTGTACTTTCTACTTCTCACATGTTGAACTCAAATACCTGTACTTTCTACTTCTCACATGTTGAACACAAATACCTGTACTTTCTACTTCTCACATGTTGAACTCAAATACCTGTACTTTCTACTTCTCACATGTTGAACTCAAATACCTGTACTTCTACTTCTTACATGTTGAACTCAATACCTGTACTTTCTACTTCTTATATGTTGAACACAAATACCTGTACTTTCTACTTCTCACATGTTGAACACAAATACCTGTACTTTCTACTTCTTACATGTTGAACACGAATACCTGTACTTTCTACTTCTCACATGTTGAACCAAATACCTGTACTTTCTACTTCTCACATGTTGAACTCAAATACCTGTACTTTCTACTTCTCACATGTTGAACACAAATACCTGTACTTTCTACTTCTTACATGTTGAACTCAATACCTGTACTTTCTACTTCTTACATGTTGAACTCAAATACCTGTACTTTCTACTTCTTACATGTTGAACTCAAATACCTGTACTTTCTACTTCTTACATGTTGAACCCAAATACCTGTACTTTCTACTTCTTACATGTTGAACTCAAATACCTGTACTTTCTACTTCTTACATGTTGAACTCAAATACCTGTACTTTCTACTTCTTACATGTTGAACTCAAATACCTGTACTTTCTACTTCTTACATGTTGAACTCAAATACCTGTACTTTCTACTTCTTACATGTTGAACCCAAATACCTGTACTTTCTACTTCACTCATGTTGAACACAAATACCTGTACTTTCTACTTCTCACATGTTGAACACAAATACCTGTACTTTCTACTTCTTACATGTTGAACTCAAATACCTGTACTTTCTACTTCTTACATGTTGAACACAAATACCTGTACTTTCTACTTCTCACATGTTGAACTCAAATACCTGAACTTTCTACTTCTTACATGTTGAACTCAAATACCTGTACTTTCTACTTCTTACATGTTGAACTCAAATACCTGAACTTTCTACTTCTTACATGTTGAACTCAAATACCTGTACTTTCTACTTCTCACATGTTGAACTCAAATACCTGTACTTTCTACTTCTTACATGTTGAACTCAAATACCTGTACTTTCTACTTCTTACATGTTGAACACAAATACCTGTACTTTCTACTTCTTACATGTTGAACCCAAATACCTGAACTTTCTACTTCTTACATGTTGAACACAAATACCTGAACTTTCTACTTCTTACATGTTGAACACAAATACCTGTACTTTCTACTTCTTACATGTTGAACTCAAATACCTGTACTTTCTACTTCTCACATGTTGAACTCAAATACCTGTACTTTCTACTTCTTACATGTTGAACACAAATACCTGTACTTTCTACTTCTTACATGTTGAACTCAAATACCTGTACTTTCTACTTCTTACATGTTGAACTCAAATACCTGTACTTTCTACTTCTTACATGTTGAACTCAAATACCTGTACTTTCTACTTCTTACATGTTGAACACAAATACCTGTACTTTCTACTTCTTACATGTTGAACTCAAATACCTGTACTTTCTACTTCTTACATGTTGAACTCAAATACCTGTACTTTCTACTTCTTACATGTTGAACTCAAATACCTGAACTTTCTACTTCTTACATGTTGAACTCAAATACCTGTACTTTCTACTTCTTACATGTTGAACACAAATACCTGTACTTTCTACTTCTTACATGTTGAACTCAAATACCTGTACTTTCTACTTCTTACATGTTGAACACAAATACCTGTACTTTCTACTTCTTACATGTTGAACTCAAATACCTGTACTTTCTACTTCTTACATGTTGAACTCAAATACCTGTACTTTCTACTTCTTACATGTTGAACCCAAATACCTGTACTTTCTACTTCTCTCATTTCCCAAACAGCTGGTTCCTTTAGTCTGAATGTGTGTTTGGTGCGTGATCATTATTCTTTAGAGTCATTGCGTGCCTATTGATTTGAACACGATCCGTGTATCCATCATTTCCTGGTCTTCTCTAAAGAAGAGGGACCAATGGAAACGTTGTCATGTTGCCGTTGTTCAGCATGGAAACATTCATTAGCTAACAATGACATTATTGTTCTATTAATATAAAGGGAGGTCAGGTACTCTTTAAAACAGCTGCTCGTTATGGGTACTTTCTACTGAAGTACATTTCAAAGCCCATACTTCTTTACTTTTACTTGAGTAAAGAAGTTTAGTCAGTACTTC